GCAACAACAAGGAAGAGAGCACCCCCAGAAATGATGGCAGAAAGCAAAGAAGCTAATGCTTCCTTTGCTATCTGCTGGGTTTTTTTAGTGTTCTGACAGCTGCTGCCATCAGGAAAAAACTAAACGGCATAGGAACTAATAGCTAGATTGCTATTGACTATTTCAATTTGCAATAGCCAATAGCAAGCTGGCTATTGCACCTGCCCTCTGCTGCTGTCAGTCAGCAGAGGTGGACCTGATGGAGAACTTCAGGTCCACCTCTGCTGATTGACAGCATCAGTGGGCGGGTGCAATAGGTGGTCTGCTATTGGCTATTGCAAACTGAAATAGCCAATAGCGATCTAGCTATTAGTTCCTATGCCGTTTTTGTGTTTTCTTCTGACTGACAGAGGCCGGCAGCCCCGATGTCAGAAAAAAAAAAAAAAACAGACAACACGGAAAGGTTTACTCTGCAAGATAAAGCAGAGTAAACCTCTCCGGGAGAAAATGTTTCTCTCCCGGGTGTCCGGGAGCCGCTATCTAATAGCGGGGGACTCCTGGAACATCCGGGAGAGTTGAGATGTCTGTAGTACTAGTGTCACTTTAATAACATGAAATCCGGTTGGCTCCTATTAGTATAATGCTTGGCGATCTGCATACTGCATTGAATAGGTCTGAAACAGGATAAGCCCTATAGGAGTTATTTAGCAAGGTAATAAGTGATGTTCAGATTGTACCGCAAGAAACTGTGTGTAAAAAGAGATGTTTTACCTCCAATTTCATGTGTAAACAGCCCACTTATACTTCCCACAGTGCTATAAACCCCTCTTACCACAGTAACAGTACAGTATTACCTCAAATTGGAGGAAAAGAAAAAAAATCAGTTTGGCATTAATTGGGCAAATATGGTTGCATATATATCATTTTTGCTAATGGTTCTACTTTAAGGTAATTGTTTTCCCATCCTGTTTGCTTTAAAGAACACCCTGGGGAACCTCCTGGCCCCCCTTTATCCAGTCATGCACAATTATCTCTTTACAGACATAAATGCTACATATATACTGTATTTGTATTATGGAAAGCATCGTCTATGTCATTTACGTGAAGGTAACTCGCATTTTAGAGTCACTGTTCCTCTGAATAATGTGTGGTAGTTTGTATTAGGGAATGTATACTGGTTTAGTACATATTTTACTTTTTTATTTATAATGGTCAGGAAGAAATAAAATACAATTTTAACAAAAGTAATTTTTTGTAGTCAGATAAATGTGTAATACTGCAGATAAATATAGGGGTTATATAGGGCTGTATAGGGTTGTAACAATATTGAGTTTTCCAGCAACCCAGCAGATGGAGCCCTAGTCTTCTTTTCACATATTTGGCTATTTCAACTTTCAGCTCTGCTGAAAGATGACGGCTGTTTTTAGAACTAGAATAAGTCATCACAGCAGCCACTTGTCCCTTATCGCATGGCTAAGTTAGAGGGTTCAAGCAGACAAACAGACATCAAAGCAAGCTCAGTTTGATGTCCAGTCTATTTAGCTAACCTACAGTCCTTTGAGTATGCTTTGCCATGCTTTTGCTTATTTGCAAAAAAAAAAACAACAGTTTAAAAACATATAAAGGTTTAAATAACAATAACACTTAATTAGCTGCCTTCTATCAAATCTTCTGCTGTAATTTTATTCCAACTCTAACAATTGACTTCCAGCTTAGAGGTTTGTGGCAACACAAAAAGCTGACATTAGGTCTAGCTCTGAACGGGTTAAAGAGCAATTTTTACTCTGATGTATCACACAACTAACGTACTGAAAAGTGTCTAAAATATTCCATTCAGCTTTTCTGTTCTCTGAGTATTAAAAACAAGAAGAACGTTATGTTTATACAGAAGTATCTAAGGGAAATAATGAATCTGGTAGAGACTGAGCATCAAGACAATGAAAGATTCCGCTGGAGGATTTGTAAGATGGAAAGAAGGGCAGGCTGTACACAAAATGGCTGCTGAGCTCCTTGCAGCTCTAGCAGTTCAAGAGTGGAATAAGAAAAACGCATTATGCTGAGTAATCTTCACCTGATATCTGGGAAATGCATTGTAACACTTTCTAGAGAGTAGAAAACACAACTACTGTTTGCTGTCTGGGAGATATTTATATAACTCGCACAGGGTAAAAGCTAGGTAAGGAGTGATCGTGCAATACAAAATAAGCAGTTTAGTTTTAGCTTTTACTTTCCAAAAATTTTTTTTTAATTCAGACACTCGTACTGCATCCTACAAACCTTCTCATTGTGAAAACATTTCCTGACCTTTTGGATTTATTTTTTTGCATTTTGTGATTGCATTTTCTCTGAAACGCATTTTATTTATAATATATGAATCTGCTGATATTTGACTATACGTAGCACTGCCTGTATCTTAAATGGTTACAAACATTACAAGTGTACAAAAACTACAGAATTATTCTTTTAATGTTGACCCACATTCCTATCAATGTTCTTGTGTGGCCATTCCTACTCCACAGCCATGTTGCCTGCTTTAAAGCCCAATTCAAATTGTAACCCACCCCCTGCACAACAGTTTTCCTCACCCCCACCTGCTGTGTCTTGCAGCATCATATGGGTCAGAGGATGAAACCACAATGCGCAGCAGGGGACACAGGATTTCAACGCTCCCATAAGTTTTGAGTGCAGTCTTATGAAGGCAACAGCCCCAATATGGAGGGAAGGTAGGAGACACAGACCACCAGAGAGGCAAGTACAATACCTCTTCTATTACAGGAACCAGCCATTTGGAATGTTTTAAAGCTGAACTCTGGGCACAAAAACTTTCTTTGAAATATATTACTCAGTAGCCACAAAGGATATAAATTCATTTTGTGTAAACCAAATGCCTTTGCAAGCCCTGTTATTAACTTGTAAACTAGTGGTGACATCATCACTGTGCTTCCTGTGCAGAGAGCAGAGCTGTTGGAGGGACCCAACAAGTCCAACCATTAGAGATTGCCTGCAGAAAACTATAAGAGGAGGTGGATAAAAGACCAGTCACCTTGTACGAGGAGAGAGCAGAAGTGTCTGGCCTTTATTAAAGGAAGCTCCCGCACAAAGACAAGTTTCACATTACTGCACAGATCTAAAAGAAATACATAAGAACACCAAGATTTAGGTAAAAGTACACATACCTCTTGAATGTAAGCAATATTTGCTTATCCCAGAGTTCAGCTTTAAGCACTTGAAGGTTTTTTTTTTTAACTGTAGCCTTTCTAACTGATCTGGAGAGTGCTTATGCATTCTCTGGGTTCTAAGCAAGAGGAAGGCAGCTGTAAGCATCACCTACAGTAAAAAAAAGCTTGGACAACCCAACCTGACTCACCCATAAGTCCTACATAACAAAAGCAGCTGTGGCGATGTAATCAGCAGGTTTTAGGTCTCTATGAGTTGCACACATGAGCTGCAGGAGCTTCAGTCTTCATAAAACCACAGCATATGCAAAATTGTAAGTCCTAAGCAAGGCTGAGTATATGGTCCAAGCCACATATTTCCTGTGTTCCCATCCTATTTCATATCTGGCCTGATACCTTTTACTTTTCTATAATTAAGGCAAACTCTCATTACCGCTTACCATTGACTTTAAGACCTAAAGTGGTTACAGGACATGCAGGACAAGTGGACAATTTAGAGCATAAATACATTTCTGAAATGTCACAATACACAGGAACATCCTAATTGATTAAAAACACTGTAATGTTGACGAGGGAGCATAGAGCCAGCTTCCCGGCCAATCAGGAAGCAGGACGGAATGTAATGACTACAGGATAAGTATCGGGAGCATTTGGGCGAGTACGGGTACTCGCCCAAATACTTGGTATTGGCACCGATACCGATAGTAGTAGCGTTGCATCTCTAATTTACATGCCTTATCACCCCTAAGCAAGCATCTCCATTCAGGAACTAGTTGCTAACTCTGGATGATGCCTGAACAATTATGGCGTCATTCTTCTGGAAAGAAAAACAGATATTATCGGGGGGTACTATGATCACTGTGAGGCTTCATAAATACCTGTAAATGGTACACTAACACATTGGGGGGCTGCCCACATGATTACTTGTAGCCAATGCTGACAGGTTGTGTTTTTTCTTCTGGCTAGAAGCTAATGAATTATCACAAGTTAAAGAAAACATCTGAATTAAAAGATGGCAATTAAAGAAAAAATAAAACCACAGAGTGATTACAATGTTTATCTCTATTTTTGGTAACAGAAAAAAATAAATTTTTGTGATCCTTCTCCTTTTTCATAGATAAACTGATACTACTATATGACGTAATATATTTATGTCTAGAATTGCCTTTTGTAATATAATCAATCATTTGATATAACTTTTATAAATTGTGTTTGAAAGATACCGGGATATTACTAGTTACTAGGAGTGACAGCAAGATTTATTTACAGTTATTTTTCCATAGGCACACCCACGATGTTAAGAAAAAAACATTCACAAGGTAGACCTCCACAGAACTACACACAGTACTGAAATTGCTTTGGAGAACAATTCTGTGAACTGAAATAAGAAAATGAAATGCAGCTTACCTTGTATGTGCCGTTCTGTAAGAGCTGAGTCAGAGCAGAATGGAAATGTGACGGCCATGAATGGCCCTGGCTGATTCTGCAAATATAAGATAAGCATAAGTTTATTTTTATTTAAGCCATTTATCTTTATAACCATCTAGAACTGAAATGTTCAAATGTATATGTGTAATATTATTTTTTAAGTCGACTAGTTGTGTTAAAGGGCACCTGCAATGAGAGAAAAAACCTGTGCTGCCTTTCCCCATCCCCCCTCTCTGAAATTGCTCATTTCCCAGAGGTCATGATGAGCCTCTAGACGGGAGGATACTCAGTCGAGAATGATGGGGAATAACTTGAGAATTATTATCAAGTACAAGCATGCAGCCAGTTGTGGGAACTCCATATTTGCTCTAGATCAGTGACTCACTATGCTTGGAAGCCACAGGATCAACACGGTGGTTTGGCAGACAGTAACTAATGTTTATGCATTTATCTAATTTTATGGCATTTACAGATAAGAAAACAATGGCAGCTACTCCATTCAAGCAACACACTTGAGCAGCCCCCTACCCACCCAATATATACACATATCTAACATCTCTTAAAAGGTGTTTCCGTCACTTGTGTATTGCGTCTAAGCACGGACAGAAGCTGGTTAGCTAAATAAGAGAGAAAAAAAATAATCAATGCATGGATCTGGTTTGGTGCATCTAGCCTCTGGTTGGTCATTTAAAGCCTTGCCCTTCGTAAAATAATCCATGTCCATGCAGAGAAAGCAATAACTTCAGGTAAATTCCCCCATCTGCACATATACGCCTATTCTTCACTCTCCCACTGCTCTGTTCAACCTCCAGGCTTGCTCCAGAGCTTACACAGAACTAAGGACTCTCCTTGTCCCCAAGTGAAGGTCTACTTGGCCAAACACCAGCTCTGCCTAGAATAAATGTCCTTGTTAGTTCCTCTGTTAAAGAAAGCAATATCAACCATCAATATTTTATAGAAAGTAATTTATGATGATATCATATCTCATGCCTGTAGTAGACATATCCTTACATAACCTTAGGCTTGTTACATTATAGCCTTTAGTTATTATACTTGTACCTGAGGTATAAAAGTGTATTTTGTACACTGCCAATGGATAACAATTAATTATTATTAAAAGGAGAACTATGGGGTCAGGGCTTTTCCCCATAGTTCTCCTTAGGGTAACTGGAGGACACAGACTAGCGTCCTCCCGTTACCCTAAGCTTGCGGCTCGCGGTGTACTGAGCTTAGGGTAACGGGAGGACGCAGCCGGAGCGGAGCGGATTCCGACATCGATGTCGAGATCCGCCCAGCTGCGTGAGTGACCGCTGGCTCTGCCTATCTAGAGGCCTATCTGTACCCGCCCCCTCCCAATGTCAAAAAAACAAAAACTCAGTATTGCAGTGTGCAAGGATACCTTTCTTATCGGACTAACAAAATATATAAAAGACAAGCTTTCAAGAGTGAACCTCTCTTCTTCTCACCTGAAGAAGAGAGATTCACTCTCGAAAACTTGTCTTTTATATATTTTGTTAGTCCGATAAGAAAGGTATCATTGCACACTGCAATACTGAGTTTTAGTTTTTTTGACATCTTGTCAACTGGACTAATACGGCTATATGGGATGCACCGATATATCGGCTGTCCAAACATATCGGCCGAAAATGGCACTTTTGGCATAATGCCGAAAGTGCCATTTTCTGGCCGATATAGCGGTGCATCCATTCTTTCTTTCCTCCCCGCTGGGGCTGCTCAGTGTCCCAGCGGGGAGGAGAGAAACTGTCACAGGCGGCCGAGCGCTGCAGGAGGAGAGCGCTGTGAGCGGTCGGAGTCTCTCCTCCCACACCGCTCAGCCTCCTGTCACAAATTAGAGGAGAGTGGTGTGGGCGGAGACAGCCAGCGCCGTCACAGCAGGCTGAGCCCCGCTCGCTCGCCCAGCCAGCGTGCTGAGACAGTGTGTCAGGATGGAGAGCGAGGTACAAACACTCAAAGATCAGTGATCGCTGAGTGTTTGTAAATAATTGAGGACAGAGTATGTTTACTATATCCTCAATTATGAATGAATGGGAAGTGATTTACATCACCTCCTGTTCATTCATAATTGTGGTTATAGTGAACGTACTCTGTCCTCACGTTATGAATGAACATGCACACTCATAGGAGGATTCCTGTTCATTTATAACAGGGGCTGCAGAAAAGAAGATGTCCTCAATCTCTTTTTCCATTTTAAAAGGGAAATATCAGGGGTCTGTTTAGACCCCTAATATTTCCCCTTGAAGCCCTTAAAAGTAAAGCAAAAAATAAAAATATTTAACCTCCTTGGCGGTATTCCCGAGTGTGGCTCGTGGTTAATTTTCAATTAATAAAAAATGAAAAAAAAAAAAAAAAATTAAAAGTTTATACAAAATAAAATATTTAAAACAATTTGGAAAAAAGTTAAAATAAAAAACATTTTTGGTTTCGGCCTGACATTTTTGTTTATTTCGGTGCCCAATCTACTACCCTTTTGCTCCACCTGTGCGGCCCTTGGGGCCCCTTTAAGCAGTAGTCTGTTTCCCTATTGCCTGTAATACCTGTGTCAAGAGTCCATGCTAATGATTGACTAAAGGTTGTTCATTATGCAAAGGAAATTACACTTTGCAGGGGAAGTTTCCCCTAAGTTTAGTAAATGAGGTGAACTTCCATCATCCCGTCATGTACAAGCAAAAATACTGTTTGTTTTATCTTCCTTGCACGTGATTGGGTATTATTTAAAAAAGGGAATTTTCCCCACAATCACTAAGCTAAGCAAGAATTTATTTGCAAAATCACCAGCCTTTTTGCCTTTAGTAAATCAACCCTCATGTCTCCTGAATCATGTCCCTAGTCTCCAACAACTCCTTTAGCATATCAGACCATTTCTTGTAGCAAGCCTATAGTCGTTGACCCTCTCATGTTGCATGGTTACACTCTCTGATAGCATTCTGTATTATATTAACTAATAATTATGTGTGACCATTTGGTGATGTCAGCGACCCGACTTGAGGCCCACTAGATCAACAGAGCTCACCACCACTGATTTAGATTTAATGCATAGCTGATAATATGGGATATTACATTAGTAGGTTACGTCATGGGATCTCCAAAGAAAGACCAACAACTGGTTGTTGTTTTCACACAGCAAAAAAAGGGAGGTGCAATGCACTAATCAAGAAAACAAAGCTTAAAAGCTTTACTCTATACATAGAAAAGCTTATAGCTCAAGTGAGCACTCTGTGAAATTTTTCAAAATTCCTATAATTCCCATAAAACATTCCTAAGTGTTAGATCAGGAACATCTATAAATTCTGCTTGTATACACTTTTCTTTTCAGAATAAACTTTTAGAGGAAAAATCTTCTTTTCCTTTAGTTTGCTACTGTAGATTCACCTATTAGTTATATATGACAAAAAAATTAAGATGCTAAAACATATATCTCAAATAAAAGTCAAATAGCCTAAAAGGAGAAATATGGGGTGAGGGAAAAACACGCATCCCCATAATTCAAGCCGACCTGTGACAAAGAAGCTGTCACAGGTCAGCTCTTTTCATCGCGAAGTCAGCGAAAACACAGCGCCGTCGCTGACTTCCCGATCCTCTCCCTTCAGAGAGCGGTGACTGTCACCGCTCCCCACAGGGATTCCCCCCTCCCCTCTCCGATCTTCCAGCGCTGACTGGGGGAACGGACAGGGGAGGGGGCAGACACAGCTTGCTCTGCCTCTAGATAGGCACAGCCAACTTCAATCAGTCAGCTGGGTGGATCTCGACAGTATTGTCGCGATCCTTCCCGGCTGCGGCGCTCTCAGCATATAGCGGACAATAGCCTGCTATATATACAGGTGAAACTCAAATAATTAGAATATCGTGCAAAGTTCATTTATTTCACTAATGCAACTTAAAAAGGTGAAACTAATATATGAGATAGACTCATTACATGCAAAGCAAGATAATTCAAGCCGTGATTTGTCATAATTGTGATGATTATGACTTACAGCTCATGAAAACCCCAAGAACCCCAAATCCACAACCTCAAAAAAGTAGATTATTACATGCAATCAATAAAACAAGGATTGTACATAGAACAATATCGGACCTCTGAAAAGTACAAGCATGCATATGTACTCAGTACTTGGTTTGGGCCCCTTTTGCAGCACTTACTGCAATTACTTTTGCACGATATTCTAATTATTCGAGTTTCACCTGTATATATATACTGAGTTTTGGTTAACTGGAGAACACAGTATATGTCCTCCTGTGACCCTGAGGAGAACTATGGTCATTTAACCCCTTCGTGACTGACGACGTACAGTGTACGTCAAAAGGCTAACAGAAGCCAGGCAGAGTATTGACTTTTGGGAGTTGAATAATTTTGCAAACTCAAAATTATTTTTTTTGTCTTAATCATCGGCACAATAAAAAAATGTTTGCACCTACAAAGTGGTAGGCATGATGTGTACATCACATGGTACAAACTCCCAAAAAAATGGATTTTAATTTCAGGTTGTAATCAAAACAAACAGAAAAAACTCCAGGAGGGGTGAATACATTCGCAAGGCACTGTACATGTCCAATGTGTGGAAGCACAAAAGGCTTACCATCTGATGAATATCCCCCTGTATACCACTTTAGGATGGGAAATTCAATGACCATACTTGCCTACGATCCCATTTACAGTACAACCAGGGCCTTTATTAATACCATTAGTGGTCCAAGTCCAAGTCAAGATCTGAACATCTAAGTCTGACAAATGTGTCCATATGCATGTATGGGCAAATCTGTCAAGAGTGAAACTCAACCCTCTGACTGTCCTGGGTCATGCAGATCATTTAAAAAGTCTGCCTTTATACAGGTCATGCGAGCATAGAGGAAAATGTGAACAGATCAAAAAAAACATTAGTGCCCATGACCTTGAGGACATAATGCCAAATGAGTCAGCAGTGGTCTGGAAACTCATGACTGGATGCATTTTCTGTGTCCAACAGTCACAACCATTGTTGATTAAACATGAATGCATGCTGGGTTGATCATGACCAATCTCTAATTATAATGTGCACTTGAAACACGATTCTTTATGTGCAGTGTTCTCACTGGACCATACAGTCCATCAGAGTTGTAGAGCAATCTGTTTTTGTACATACTCAAATCCATTTAGAACATGCTTTGCAACTGCAAGAAAGTGTATTCCTAGAATGACTTCTGTGTATTTTATAATAGGCTAGCAGTGCAACCCCACCCTTGGTTTCAATATGTGCAGCATTGTTCCATCTCATAAATAACATCCAAGTGCCTACGATGTCTTCTTACACTGGTACTTAATTCCAGCCGAGTGAAATATCTTCATTGCAGCAACGTTGAAGATAATAATTTCATGGAATCCTAAGAATGTCCACTCTTGTTTATAACTCTGGATAATACCTTGTTAGGGAAAGAATGTGACTGTGATCAAGGATATTTAACTCTTACACATCTTGACACAGCCATTGTTGGTTTCTTTTTCATTCCATTATGCTGTGCAGTTATAATATAAAGGGGAAATGATAATTACTTTGCATTCATTTTATGTATTTTTTATTACAATTCTTGACTAATGTTTCATATTTTTTTTTTTTACAAATAAACAGTTATCATACATTGTGCCCATAACACTGGTGTCATTGAGAACACAACAATAGCTTTTCCTTTCAGATGGTCTGTCTTGTTAAAAATAAATATGGAGCCATACAGAGAAGGAAGAATCACTCTTCTGACTCCTTTAGCTGACTATTTGAGCCTTAGCTGTTGGGCTCTGTAAACGGTATTTTGTTCAGGGATTTAGATCGGCTAGAAAAGATAAATATAAAGAAATTCACAAGTAACACTTCATATTTTCAGTAGACTCAAATCTAATCACTAAACTATCATATAAACTTTGACATGCTAATAGAATTTTTAAAGTTGTATTTAATCTTTTTTAAATCTGCAGCTTTTGTTACAATAATCCCTGGTGAACCTGCCATGAAGGTTCTTGTTTAGGCATTCATGTTATTTGCAGACAAATGTCTCCCAGTTGTGTTCCTGCTTTGTTACCCTGTCAGATACCCCATTGGTGGAGACTACAAGTGGCTCTGCCAATACACATCTCCACAGTCATTGTCAGGAAACTGGTCCAGACCAATGATATGTAGTAAATGCTGGAGAGAGTGAATATAGACAGGAAATGGTTAAAACTGAGATGGAAAAAAGGATAAAATAGGTCAAACACAATTTTATGAAATAAACAGACATGGTAATTGTATGACAGTGCTTCAGCAAAGTAAATGTCATCTATTTAGAGTTAATGATTAAGGCATACTTAAAGGCAAAACCTTTTTTTTAGATTTGGATAGAGTTGTGGAGTTTAGAACCTCTGTCAAGTTTTTTGTTTACTGTAAGACACGTCAGTGGCAAATGATATAGCACTTACAGTAAGCATTCTGCAGCTGCTTTTTTGCCTAAGCACAATCTTCATTTATTGCATAGTTCTTCTGTGAAACAGTTTGTCTTGTTCCTTGATCCTGCCCCCTGATGACACTAGATCTACTTCTTATAGGTTCCTGTGAGGACGGAATAACCGAGGATGTCTGTGCACGATCACAAGCCGCAGTGCGCTGCTGCCTCTAATCAGGAATCATATGCTAAAGACACATTTTGAGGATTTGTTTGCCACATTATTCTATACTAATGAATCTATATTAGAGACATTAACTTTATATTTAGAAGTATAAAGGCACTTTAAATTGGAAGCTGTAATGGTTTTTGAGCAATTGTTAATTAATGTTTTTTTTTTCTTTTGAGGACACTTAATTTTGTTTAAATTATTTGTATAAAATCTTCATGTTGCATCCATGACATAAATGTTGCAAACTATGATAGGCTTTCTAATGGGAAAGCCCATCACTGGCTGCATGCTTTAGGCTTTCGGAGTATACCGATTTGTCTCTGCTGTTTCTGCTGAGATAGAGTGATTAGGTGTATTTCCTACAGCTCTCACATAAAACTCCATTTGCTAACAGCAATTGTTAAATAATAACTATAACTAGATAACTTACACCTGCGGGTACTTAAAGTGCTAAGTACGATAATAGTGATGACATTGTTCCTAATCTGTAAAGGAGAACTATGGGGTTAGGGTTTTCCCCATAGTTCTCCTTAGGGTAACGGGAGGACACAAACTAGCGTCCTCCCGTCACCCTAGAGAGACGCCGCAGTATCCGCGAGCTGCTGCTCGCGGTATACTGAGACGCTGAAGCGGATCTTGACAATTATGTCTGGATACGCCCAGCTGCGTGACCGACAGCTGGCTCTGCCTATCTAGAGTCAGAGCCAGCTGTACCCGCCCCCTCCCCGTCCGTTCCGCCAGTCAGCGCTGGCGGATCGGAGCGGGGAGGGGGGAATCCAGCCCCACCCCTGTCACAACAGAGAGCCGTGACAGGATCGAGAGGTGAGCGAACGCCGTTATGTGTTCGCTCACCTCCCGATCTACTAAGCCGACCTGTGACAGTCTCATTGTCACAGGTCGGCTAGAACTATGAGGTGAGTGAAAAGCACTCACCTCATAGTTCTCATTTAAGGACTCCTATCAGACTGGGGAGGTACCAGCTGACTGGTGTAAAGCAACTGTTGTACCAATATTTAAAAATGGTTTGAGAAGCGTACCTGGGAATTATAGACCAGTCAGCTTAACATCCATAGTATGCAAGTTATTTGCGGGTATGACAAAGGACCATATTTAAGAATTTGCCTATGGGCAAGATATCATACAACCAACATGGCTTCAGGAAGGACCGTTTGTGTCAAACCAACCTATTAGCGTTCTATGAAGAGGCGAGTGACACCCTAACAGAGGAAAGCCAGTGGATGTAGTGTACCTTGATTTTGCAAAAGCATTTGATACAGTTCCCAAATAAACATTTAATTTACAAGCTTCAATCTTTGGGCACTGATGAAATGGAGTGTACTTGGATAGAGAACTGTCCAGAGAGTATCAATAAATGGCTAATTTTCCAAGTGGTGTAAGGTTATGCATTTGAGTTAAAAATACGAAAGCAAGCTACTCCTTAATGGGCATCCCACTGGGGGAATCAGAGGTGGAAAAAGATTTGGGAGTCCTAGAGGACTGTCGCCTTAGTAACAGCATGCAAAGCCAGGCAGCAGCAAATAAGACGAGCAGGGTACTATCATGTATAAAAAAGGGAATGTACTGTACAGACAAATCCATAATGCTGCCCCTTTACAAAACACTGATCCGGCCACATCTTGAGTATGTGGTTCAGTTATGGTCACTGATCCACAGAAAGGATGTGCTTGAGCTGGAGAGAGTCCAGAGAAGGGCGACAAAGCTAATAAAGGGATTATTAGGAAAGCCCGTGTCCATTATACTTGCTCACTCTGGAGAAGAGGAGACTTAGAGGGGACATAATATTAATGTGCAAATTGTTTAATCGTGATGGGATAATCAGTAATAAACTGTTTGCTGTCAGTTCAGTCAAGAAGACAAGAGGCCACCACCTAATACTGGAAGAGAGAAGGTTTCATCTTAAACAGCGATTGGGATTCTTTACTATGAGAGCTGTAAAATTGTGGAACTCCCTTCCACAGACACTGCTGAGAGTATGGAATCATTCAAGAACTATATAGATACTTTTCTCAGCACACAAGATATACAGGGGTACAGGTAATCTTAGTAACAAACAGACACACACACAAAACCCAAAGGTTGAACTCGCTGGACCTGTGTCTTTATTTACCCGTAACAACTATGTAACTATGTAATAATAATCATCACTTACTTGCTCCCTTTTGGTCTGTTAAGCATGCAATTTTTTGATTTATGTTTTAAATTGTTCCCACCTATCTCCATGAACTGCAAAGCACCTCCCCTTACAATAAGAAGACAATTAGTGGGGGAGGGCTCTGTAGTAGTACCACTGTTATCTATAGAGAATAGTGGCCTTTCTGGTCTCCAGCACACTGCCTGGAGATAGCAGTGTTAGTATTCTGACCTTGATGACACAAGACATACATAGTGATTATATGGTGCCCATCTATGTACAATACTGCCAAGGCTACACCCTGTCTCCAGGTACAGGTTTCCTTTAATTTTCAGTTATTACTGGGTAAGTGTTCCAATCTCAGACTGGTTAGTATACATTTTATTACTCATCCACTTTTGCTCCATGTTAGTTAATGACCTTAGTGACTTTTCCAATGTACTTTACATACATCAAAGGAAATTCAATCACCTCTCAAGTATTGTGAAGCACATGGATCGAATGTCCTTACGATGAAGCTTATAGGATGCTAAGAGCCCAGCCACTTTATTACTGAATTAACCAGCTGAAACATAACATTCCCTGCTCACACAGGCTTTATCTATTTAGCTGCAAGCTCTTGTCAATGGCAATCTTCCAGTCACTGCTCAGCAATCAGCAACACATTGTTTGTCCATGAACTTCACAAAGCATTACATTAAAGCGTATGCCCAACTATTTATTTTATGCATAGAGTGGGGAAGAACTAGAACCCCTGTGAAGTTTTTATTGCTGAGGCTTCATTAGAAAGACTTCCCCTCACTATCATGATGACAATGGCAATTGTGTCCACTGGAGCTCCTGTCTCTATGATTGCAATGCTCGCATAGATCCGCCCACCTAAGGTGCAATCCATGTGCAATTGCCTTATCTTAATTGTAAGTGCATTTTAACCGTTTTAAATAAATTTATTCTGACATACTACACTATGGGAAGCCTTTTTTTCTCTCTCTGAGCACAAGAGAAGGTGGAAGATGAACGAATAGTGTTACACGATTTTGGAAAATAAGCCAGAGTCGGGAGGAGTCTACCCCAATTTATTGTCGGATTAAAAACAAAGGAGAGGATTTGGTTCTATATATATCAACAAAGCACTAATTGTTCATCTGAAATATGGTGAGCAAATGGAGTCGGTGAGTGCGGCCAGATCTTATCTTTGAGCACGATGGAGACTGGAGAGCACTGATTCACCAATTGTTTTTGCATTCACGGACGTGCTGTTGATTATAATAGTTGGAAGATATATCCTCACATATTTCAAGAACTTTATTGTATCCAGAAGTAATGGACTTCACATGTGGATATGTAGATTAATGAGGGAGTTGTGCATCACTTGTGAGATTTAACACAGGATTTTCTATGGGGTCTATTCACGAAGCTGCCGAAGGATCTGGCCGTAGCTTCGGCCAAACCTTCGGCTAGCTTTGGCCCCAGGACCCCTTCAGTTCAGTAGAACCGAAGGGGTGCTGTACGGGCTATTCACAAAATTGTTTATCACTGTGTGACAGTTTCACATTTCAGGAATATAATTTTTGAGTTTGAAGCGCAGTGCTATTTTCTTTTTTCTTACAGAAAGGGAGGGCCAATGTCACAGTCACAGAAAGAGAGGGGAAAACTCTAACTAAGCCTCAGAGAGCAGTAAAAGCATGACAACGGTTCTAATGCTTCCCCTCTCTAAGCAAAACTGAAAAGAAAATGGTTTGACTGGAAATACACTTGGATAGTAAATTGAAAGGTAAAAAAATATATCATAAATTACCGAAAATGAACATATTTCACTTTTTTTAAACTACTACATGTACCTGCTATAAAGGTGATGGATTTGGGCTAGGGCAAAACATTATTAAACACTTGATGACCGGGGTGTTTACACCCCCTTCCTGTCCAGGCCATTTTTTAGTATTTAGCGCTGCACTACTTTGACTGACATTTATTCCGTCATGCAACGCTGTACTGAAACGAATTGTAAAACATTTTTGGGGACACATAGAATTTTCTTTTGGTGGTATACAAACACCACTGGGGTTTTTATTTTTTACTATATAACAAAAAAAAGTACCGAACATTTTGGAAAAAAAAAAAAAACTGTTTTCCCTTTATTATGTTATGAAACATCTATTATTACCCAATTTTTTGGTAAAATATAAAAGACGGGGTCACTTCAGTTGAATAGACACTAAACACGTCAAGCCTTAAAATTGCGCATGCCTGTGAAATCACAAAAAAACTACCATACCCAAAATGGCCATCGGTAACGTTTTAAAAGCTGTTACCGCTAATTAATTTAGTGTTACCAAGTGATTGATGGTCCTAAAATTATTGCTCACACTCTGACGTTCACAATGATATGTAACATGTGTGGCGTGATGGGCGCAATCGTCGTTTTTACACGTAGGCGCACCCGACGCATGTTTGCATGTGTATGTGGGGATTAAAAATGTTTTTTGTGTGTGTGTGACTTTTTGTTTTTACACTTAACTTTATTGTTATCACATAGGGGGCTAAGAAACCCGCTATGTGATATCAAATTACAGTGACATGTCCTCTTTATGGAGACATCAGGGGTCTTTAAGATCCCTAATGTCATCTAAGGACCCCCAAAGAAGCTGATGAAGCAGAGATCTGCTTCACCAGCTTCTGTAGCCAGATAATGACAACTGAATGTGGAAGTGATGTAATATACTTCACTTCCTGCATTCTCATACAGGAGGGGAGATTGGGCCCCGGGCCCAGCAGTGGCAGCGGGGGGCACAGAGGCACAAGATAAAAGTGATCCGGCAGCTCTAATGCCGACGGACCGCTTGTATGTGAACAACCATCGCTGGCTGTTTCAAATTCTGACAGTTTCCCACTCGTGCGCGCTGCAAGGACATTTTAAACCGCCCACCTGCATCTAGAAGGCGCTCATCCGGCCGTTTGATAGGTGCCCACACTATAGACAATAAATTATTTAAATATTCTTAAACATTAAATAGTTCTAAAACAAGCTATCCCTGATACAGTATATCTAGCTGCTCATAATGTAAAGTAACTCAAAAGGTAACAAAGAACACAACAAACACTCAGGTGCATCAGTAGGTTGCTAATAGCTTAGATACACCTGCTGTGTGTTTTCATTAGAGGACTGGGAGTTGTAAACTTTCTCCACAATGTCTATAGTTTGAGAAGTAAATGAGAAGTGGTTGTAAAGTGCTTTTACTGCTTGTTCAGAATATGTAAATACTTTAATGTGCATGGTCTGGGCACAGGTTCAATTTAAGAACTCAACAGTGGAATACAAAAACTCATATCAGTCTTCAGGAGAATAGCTGATCATTTGAATACTTGTCTTTAAATATATATTGGGGGGAATTGATCAAAACTGGAGCAAACAGAATCTGGAGCAGTTGCCCATGGCAACCAATCAGCATTTCTCTTCAGTTTGCTCAGGTAAGATTTGAAAATGAGAGAGAGAAGCAGATTGGCTGCAGTGCAAATCTGCTCCAGATTTGATAAATCCCCCCCATTGTCTATTCATCATACTCTTTTTCAATCTGCAATATATGAGTATGTATAAGTTAATTTACATGTTTTATATAATATCTATTATACAACATCTTTATTTTACAAACATTTAATAAGGGCTGAACGCTTGTCATATGGAGCCCTGCAAAGCAAGGTAAGAGGGGGATGAATCACTCCTCTGATCATAGAGCTCTGTGTAATTTGAGCTTCAACTTGTCACATCTTAAAACAGGATTGTTTTTACACAAAACAGTTTCAGTTAGCCTGGTAAACATTTGAAAAACAGCTTGAAATTGCAAATATTAAATATTCATAAACATATTTTCATCTGTATATGACTACTTTTATCTTGTCCTCCCGTGACCCTTAGGAGAACTCTGGGGAAAAACACTTACCCCATAGTTCTCCTTTAATAGAATAAATATTTAACAAAATACTACACATTCTCTTTAATAATTATGTTACAACTAGATATATATTCCTCTCTATGATGCTTTGCCCAAAACACATTGGCAACTATGCAGGAGCTTAGAGAGGGGAGATTCCTGAAATGCAACTTTGAAATGGTAGCTGTAAGTTATTATGAGAGCAATACATGCTTTGTGTGATATGATATTTAAACAGCCCAATCGTGAAGTAAGGAACATTTTCTCAAGCATTTCCTCAAGATTAAACATCAATAATGTTTTGCAAAGAAAACTGATTTGACTACGAACTGGTTTAGTCAAAAAAATGAATGCCCCAAGTTTAGCTAGTAGTAGTTTGTTACATTAAACTGGATTTTTTCTGTATTGTTTATGACATTTTGTAGCTTCTCCAAGCAACTTCTTCATTTCCAGGATGTGTCACTAAGGTACCCCAGCATTTATTGCCACGCAGGTAGCACAGACACCTGAATCCAATCATTTTGGATTGTGCAGTTGTTGACTGTCTGAAAACAGGATGGACTTTCAAGTAGTATTAAAGGAGAACTATGGGGTAAGTGTTTTTCCCCATAGCTCTCTTAAGGGTCAGGGGAGGACATAAACTAGCATCCTCCCGTGAGCCAAAGCTCAGTATATCGCGAGCTATAGCTCGCGGTATACTTAGACCGCCACAGCGGGACGGATCCCGACATTACTCGAGATCCACCCAGCTGCGTGAGTGACAGCTAGCTCTGTCTATCTAGAGGCAGAGCCGGCTCTACCCTCCCCCGTCCGTTCCGCCAGTCAGCGCTGGAGGATCAGAGAGCGGGGAGGGGGGTGAATCCCTGCAGGGAGCCCTGACTGACAGTCAAGAAGTGACCAAGCGATGGTATGTGTTCGCTCACTTCCCGATCCATTGAGCCGACGTGTGACAGTTTCATTGTCACACGTCGGTTCAAACTATGAGGATGATTTTTACTCGCCTCATAGTTCTCCTTTAAACCCTCAAAAGTTTTTCCATATTGAATCCAGATTAACAAATATACATTGCCTAGCAAAGTATTTCCTTGCATGTTTGGCCAAGAATTTACAGTCATCATGTTACCAAACAGATGACTCCATCTCTCCCAGCTCCGCTTCCCTGAGCTTCCTGTCCAGTACAAGATCACAAGGAACAGCACAGTCTCCAGCAGCTGTCCAACTACTGAATTGCAGCAGGGAGGCGGAAGGAAGGAAAAATAAGGAGCCAGGAGCCGCGGAGTTGTAGTGTCTTGCCTTACTGTGTTTGTACATACACATACACCTTACTAGCACACACAATGGTGGCTCTATAGGCACTATCCTGCACTTTATCTTTTGACTTTATTATCACTTTAAGGAAAAGACTACAGTGAGGTACACATTTTGAACAGAGAGGGCAACTGGTTTGCAAGAGGCCTGAAGAAAAAGCCATCTACGTAAAAACTGTCACAATTATCAGTGAACAGGGATGGGGGCCTTCAACACCATTTGTCTTCCACATATAATGCTGCTTTAACATCTTTATCATGGTGATTTGAAAACGATCACACGTTTAGCCATGTAGAAATGGAAGAATTAAAACCTAGGCAGATCTCCGGACACCAAGGATGGGATTATGTAACTAGAACAGGGTGGTTCCACAACCTTTCACACGTCCCATCTCAAGCAACATCTACACATTCTGAAATGCATGGACATCACCAAATGTTGGTTTTCCTCTTTTGTGATACTTTGCCAGGCCTTTACTGCAGCTGTCCTCATTTGTTGTTAGTTTGTGGGTCTTACTGCCTTACGTTTTGTCTTCAGCAAGTGAAATGCATGTTTGATTGGGTTGAGATCAGGTGACTTGGCCATTGCAAAATATTCCACTTGCTTGCCTTAAAAAAACTATGTTTTGGATGATTGTCAATCTGTAAAGTGAAGCACCGGCCAATCAACTTCGCTGAATCTGAGCAGACAATATAGCCCAATAAACTTCGGAATTCTAGCTGCTTCTGTCTTCTGTCACATCATCAATAAATACTGGTGACCCAGTGTCCATGCCATCGCACTGCCTTTCACTGTATTTTACAGATGATGTGGAATGCTTTGGTTAATGAGTCATTCCAAGCCTTCCTTTTCTTCCCATCATTCTGGCACAGGTTGGTCTTAGTCTCATCTGTCCAAAGAATGCTGTTCCAGAACTGGGTTGGCATTTTTAGATATTTTTTGGCAAAGTCTAATCTGGCCTTTCTATTCTTGGGGCTTATGAATGGTTTGCAACTTGTGGTGAACTCTCTGAATTTTCTCTCGTGACGTTTTCTCTCTACAGTAGACTTGGATAATGATTATTTACCAGTTTTTCATGGTCATCCATGCCTTTTTGTGATGAACCAGTGCGTTCTTTTTTTATCCCAGAATGCACCAAACTTCTGATTTGGCCACTCCTAATTTTCCTGCTAACTCTCTGATGGATTTTGCAACCGAAGGATGGCCTGTTTCATTTGCAGTGACAGCAAACACATGTTGTGGGTACACAGCAACAGCTTCCAAATGTGAATGCCACACCTGGAATCAACTCCAGACTTTTTGCCCACACCTGTCCATGAAACGGCTTTTGAGTCAACTGTCCAATTACTTTTGGTCCCTTGAAAAAGAGGGGGCTACATAATAAAGAGCTGTAAATTGCTAAACCCATCCTCCAATATGGATGTGTATACCCTCAACTTAAAGCTGAGAGACTGAGCTTTAATTGACACTGAGCCCTGATTCTTTATTTACATGTAACTCTAATTTTTTTTAGTAAACAGCCAAAATAACAAAACTTGTGTCAGTGATTTACCCAGTATACTAGCACATTATGACAAGTGTATCTTCTAGGATGCTCCCATCCCCCTTCTTGCTCCATCATTAGTTCTGCCATCTTTTCCCTGTCTTCTTCTGGGTTGGGAGTCTTCTATCTTTAGACAGTCCTCCACAGTAGTTGTCATGAATGACGTAACTCCCAAGCATGCACATAGGCCTTACATCATCTCAGCACCCGGTTCTTACTCCCAGCACCTCACAGATGTCAAGATTGTTCTCATACAGAGAGGGGAATTTATTAAAGCTGGAGCAGACAGAATCTGGGGCAGCTGTGCACTGCAACCAAGCACCTTCTCTCTTTCATTTTCAAATCTTAACTGAACAGAGAAGCTGATTGGTTGCTATGGGCAACTGCTCCATATTCTGTCTGCTCCAGTTTTGATAATGTCTCCTGACATAAAACTCTACCTGTTTCCAATTTTAGTATTATTCAATTTAGTTCTTTAAATTCCAATGTCCTGGCAGATTTACAGTCTGTGCCACCCTCCCCAACTGTGATTATCAGAGATAGCAGCTCAGCAGAGCACAACAGATTATAAGGAAGCCAGGATGTTGTAAAATTAGGCATCACCCGTTTCCCTGTTACACAAAACACAAAGTATAACACCTAATGGTATCCCATTAGTTGTTGATATACTTTATGTGTTATGTGTAACAGGGAAATTGATGATGCCTAATTCCACAACATCCAGGCTTCCCTACAATCTGTTTTGCAGAACTTGTAATATAGGTAGACACTCATTAAAGAATAGTATGACTGTGCTAACTTCAGGTGTTACATGTAACATGAAAGATTTACAGCTCTTACGACTTAATTAATGCCTGATGGAATGTGGAGGATGCTGTGTTCTTAGAAAACAGGAAAATCAGGCACAAAAAGACAGACAATCTGCTCCTGACTGTTAGAGGTATACAGGATTATGAATCGTAGGTTTCCTTCCACAAATGGTTGTGGTGGATGTTTAGATTTCCTTTTTGATCTTTCCAGGCACTAGAGTCATCAAACCAACTCGCATTACTTATGTAAATATAAGGGCTATTATGCACCCGGAAATATCAGGTCTGGCAGCTAAAAACAAACAGACTGTGTGCAGTAAT